CCAAGAGGGAAGCGAGCAGAGGTTTCGTTTTCGGGTGTAGACGGGGCCCGGGGGAGAGGTGAACTCTGCGCTCCAGTCGATACCGACTCAGTGTGGTAGGGTCGGTTCTGACTTACAGCGGCCCCACGTGTAGCAGAAGGAAGCCCTTTGGGCCGGCTTTTGACCATGCGGTCATTGCTGTGTGCCCCTTGTTGCGGCCACAGCGTCTGTCCATCTAGGAGAGCCTCCCTCCTTCTGGCCGACCCTCTGCCGTTTGATGCCCGTCTTCAGGGCCTGGACCCTCCTGACAACACGCCCAAAGGGAGGAGGGGGCATCTCGTCAGCCCAGCGCCTGTGGCACATGCTGTCTGTACAGTCCACAGCTCCGGGGTTACAACTGGCATCGCACACTGGCACCATGTCTGTTATAGGCCCCTGGGTCTTTTTATTCTAATTGGGCTTATTTTCTTGATGAGAAGATGCACAGCAAAGCAGACCCCAGTGCCACAGTGACTACATGCACAGTCTGGCGACGTGGTTACGTTTTTTAAGTTGTTCTCGCCCCCTCGCACATCATCTCACAGATATCTTTCACGTTGCCATTCTCCGTTTATCCCACATAGATCGTTCTTGAAAGAAAGAACGCACGAGGTAACTTTTTTTTTTTTTAATTAAGCGAAATTATCGTTTGGTTTTAAGGAGACTTAAAGGGATGTTTTTTGGTTAAGGTTTAAGGATTATTTCAGGACAATGGTTCTAGGGGTTCATCCATCCTCCAGGGCATGAGCCAACGAGTATTTCAAATTTTGTTATGTATTCTCCCCCCACCCCCCATTGATAAAAAATTTTCCATGGATCAAATGTTCCGTAATGGCTGCCAGGTACCAACCTGGCAAAGGAGGCAGTTAGTTATTCGTGGCGGCATATCCTCCTCCCTGTCCTGATTCCCTTCCTCTGTTGCCCCAGGTGAGTAGAGACCAATTGTTGTGCTTTGGTTAGCCTGGTGCAAGCTTTGAAGCCCTCGGGAACTGTGTATCGAACTAGGAGGTGGACTAGAAGCACAAATGCATTATGTGGCCAATTAACTAGGATGTCCCAAGAAATCAGGACCCTCAACTTCCAAAGAGTCAAAGCCCATGAGGTAGTTGGTTGTACATAAACAATCTCAGCAGCTACTTTTTTGTTTTTACCCCCTGGACGAGATCATTGTTGTAATTATATCACAACTTTTGCCAGTGCAACTTTTTACCAAGTGTGCATCTTATTGACAGCAATGACAACAACCAGCAGTGCAGCCCTACCCTTAATGCGATCTTCCCTTCCCTGCTAACCTTCTGTGTGTGTGTGTGTGTGTGTAAGTATACAGGCAACAGAACATTTGTCACTTATACAGTCGTCACTTGTACAGTTTAGTGACACAATTACATTCATCAGAGGCATGAGTTTGAATTCCCGCTGTGTGACTTAGAAGCCTTGTGACCAGGAGCTGGTTACTCTGCCTGGTTGTTTTTAAAGTACAGGTACATCCCAAAGTTAACGTAGGCTCCTCTGCAGTAATGAGTGAAGCAAACCATTCAGCTAATGGTGAATCTCATGCAGGAAGGCTTTAGGCACGTTTATCTTCAACCCGCACAATGACCCTTTCACATTTAGGGCCCTGCCTCTTAGAGGAAGGCCGAGATGGCCTCAGGTTTTCCATTCAAGCACCCACTCAGGAGCAAACATGTGCCACGCACTGGGGATGACAGGAACAGTGTTGAACTGGGGTAGAGAACTGGAACTGGGGTTCCTGATCCCTGCCCAGCTTCCTTTGAACTGTGCTTCCTCTGGCAAACTAGAGTAATGGTGTATGCTTGCTGGCTGCGGTGATTATAGAGAAAATTAAGGTAAAGTGGAGTTTGGCACTTAACAGGCACGCTCACAGTTATCTTCCCTCAGAGTTTTCAACCCTTGGCCAAATTGCTTTCACTCTCTAATGACTAATAGATTGGCATGCTGGTCTCAGCTTTTGTCTGGGCCACCTGAACAGCACAGTCCCAGTCGACCTGACGGGCAATTTCCTCAGAATTAGCTTAATAATACCTCGTAGAAGTGTGATGCATTTCAAAGAACTTTCCCACCATTATCTCCTTCCGGGGAGGCAGCGGGGCAAGGACCTCCAGCTGCAGGGTTAGGAGTAGCGAGAGAGGCTCTCCAGAGGTGAAGTGGTTTGTTCCAGGCCCTATTGCAGATGTGATGTGATTGACTCCATGGCACTTGGTGACAGTCCCACAACTTCTGAGCCTGCGTACTGTAGCAGAAAGGGCACAGGAGGTGGCAGGCTAAGACTTGACTTCAATGCCAGGTTCTACAGCAAATCACAGCGTATTATGAAGCCAGGTAACTCAGAGTGCTTGCTCAGGCTCAGCTCCCTTCTATAGATCAGGAAACTGAGGCTCACAAGGGGCAGTAGGCACTAGCCTGCAGTGACACAGGAGAGCAGGGAGTCTTACCTCTTGACTGCCTCCAGAATTAGCACAGCACAGCTAACAAGCCAAGCCAGACCCAGGCTAGGTCTTGGGGTTTGTGGCAAGGGGTTCCTTACTGGGGCCTGCAGGCTTCCCCTTGGCTAGGGGAGCTGTCCACTAGTCCTTTGCCCCATGTGTTTTCTGAAGAATAGCCTATAATCTATCAGACCACCAAGGGAAACCAGTACCCAAACAGGTTAAGAAGAGCTAGTCAGACAGGGGAGGATGGTTGGCAAAGAGACTTCTGTGCCCCTGTTCACCCCAGAAAGCTCACCAGGGTTGAGGTGTAAAGGGTGCTGACGTGACCTGTTTGTTATGAAATACAGCAGTAATTCCTGCCAGGGACCAACCTAGAGATGAGATCATATCATAAACAGGAATTCAGAGAGACCAGGCGCCTGGTGGAGCCCACCTGGGTAGCCTCCAGGTGAGGGGGCGGGGGCCAGCATGGAATAGCAGATATTGGGGTCCTGGCTCTTTGCCCTCCTCCTAGACCTGGTCCCACATGCTCAGTTCCAAGACTTGCTAATTTCTGCCTCTTGGGGGGTTGTGAGAATTTATAGCCCAAAGTGGCTGCTTCATTTTGAAATTGTGATACATCTGTACGTTTTATATTCCAGATGAAAATTACTGGAAGGAATGAGGCCTGCAGGCATCTCTCTCTCAAATCTCAGCCCAAGGATAGCATCTACAGCTGCCTACCCAGAGATAGTGTACCTGAATCCTCACCAGCCAAAGGCCAGGGAATCAGGCAGGTACTCCTTTCTCCAATGTTGGCAGTCCACAAGGAAGTCACACCAGAAAGGAAATAGCAGGCCCACTGATCAGTTTATTCATCTGACATGGGTCTAGCAACTACCACTCATGCGTGGGCACCTGGTAAGCAAACCTGGGCCTCCATGATTTTACCTCCACCTGCTGGCAAGTCATCCTGAATAATGAATAAATCAAGCCCAGCCAGGAGTCCAGCAGCTCTCCTGGGACATAACAAGTGTCCTACAGCCTGGGCCCATCTTTTTGGGTGGGCTTTGTGCCAGAGGTCCCCCTCAACTGTGAGCTGCAGGGACGGGTCTTCTCAGCACCCAGGCTTGCAAGAATTACAGCACACTCCTCTGGCCCCTCCCCTGCTGCAAGCTGGACTCTCCCATCTCTGTCCTTTTCCTAAGACCAGGGACATTCATACTTAAGGGATGGGGGAGGGGGGAAGCACCCAGTCAGATAGCAGACAGGAGTGTTTAAAAATGGTTTATTATGCAAAATGTTAACTTTTATAAAAAGTTTAATATACATCACATGGTTACAGGAAGCCACCTTCCTGTAAAAATGGTACAAAAGCTGCATACTCTATTATAGAGCTCATAAGTGGGGCGGCAGAGCCTTTTTCCAAAAAGACCAGCCCTACCGCAGCCTTGGCAGAGTTTGGAGGGCACCCCCCCTCCATACTCTGAAAAGACAGTCTTTAAACTTGGGGTGGGGACAGAGTGCCGTTGCTCAGCTGGTGCCCAGAGCTCTCCCTGGCTCTTCAGGCCACCCAAGTTCAGTCCTTCGCTCCCGGGCGCCAGATCTCCAGCCTTGACGCAGGCGTCTGGGGGGAGTCAAATGGGCAGGGCTGTGTTGGGGCTCCTCATCACGCCCTCGAGCTTCTGGCCAGAGAGGGTCCAGGGTCCCGGGTCCCAGGCGGAACGGGCGCCAGCACCTGCATTCTGCACGAGGGGCGGGAAGAAGAGGGAGCCGTCAGTTTCCGCCGAGCGCGCCGAGCGGGGGCAGTCCGCAGACTGGCCGGCGCCAGGGAGGAAACTTGTCTCTACCTCCAGCTGATAACTCGCCCCACGCTGTCCCCACCCAGTTGGCGCCAGAGGACCACAGGCGGAGCCCTGCGCTGCCTTACCCCCACCCCTTGGAATTGACATCAACTAGGAGGGGGCGAAGGCCGATCCCCAGTTCTTCTACCAGGCCAGACAAATGCGGTTCTACTTCGTCTCCCTCGGCTACTTCCCCCCTCGCTCTCTGGCTAGCGGGGAAGGGCAGGCCCAACTAGCACTTAGTGCTGGAAAGTACATGAGCTGGAAATCGGTTTTACTTTTCATTTGAGATATGTGTATATATATATATATGCAAGCCGTTTCCCCCTCTAGCCCAAGTTTCCCTAGACCAGGGGGCGGTAATCCCCTTGAATGACATGCCAAACTCCAGGGCTTGTCCTTTACGCACCACCAGCCCAGGGCCCCGGGAGGCGGCGGCTACACATACCTGGAGGCACCGGGACGGCCAGGTCAGTGGCAGAAGCTCCTCTTGTCGTTAGAGATCACAAGTTCTGGAGTAAGTTCGGCTGTCTGCTAAGAGGACAAGAAGGGGGAGTTACGGACGGGATTTCTGGGAACCCTGTAGCATGCCGGTATCCTCCTCTGCTCCCCACTACCGAGCACACCCACGCGCACCTGGATGGCGAGATGAGGGCCGTCTGGGGGTCCGGGTGCCGGTTCGGCAAGGACCACCTGCAGATCGAGGATGTAGTCGATGACGCGCTGCAGGATTTCCACCTGGCTAAGCTGAGTACCTCGCGGGACACCGGGTACCAGTTCCCGTAGGCGCGAGTAACAGTGGTTCATGTCGTCCAGCAGGCTCAGCGGCTCCTCGGCTGCAGGACCCTTGCCTCGGCCCCGGGCGATGGCCAGGCTGCGCTCCGACAGACAACACACTGCCTCGTAGCAGCCACGCACCGGGCTCAGCGCCTTCATGCTGGAGGGTGAGGACGTAGGTGCCAGGAGGACAGAGAAGCAGCTGAAACGTCTAGAGCTGTTCGCAGTATGCTCACGCCCCCAGCCGCTGGCTTTTATAGAGCCCGCCTGGATGGCACGCCCCTTTATGCAAAAATGTCCGCCCCGGTCCCGCCTCCGCCAGCCCTGGGCGTTCACAAGCCGGTTAAATTGCAAACAGGCTTCCTCCGCCTGGTCTAACGCCGAATACCGCGGATTCAAAGAATGAGGAAGCGCTGACATTGGGGAAGGCGGGCCTCTTCACTAGCAAAGATTTCTTAAATCACTTAAAACCATTAACGTTAAGGATTTGCTTTTTCTTGGCAGCGCCCCAGATCTTGGAGCACCCCTGTTCCCTGCCAGTCCACCCTTAGCCCCAACACTAGTTCGAACCCACGGCTCCACCGAGGTCATAAATCCCTGAACAGCAAAGCTTTTTTTTTTTAAGCAAAAACTTTTTTCAAGGGAAACTTGTAAGGAATTAGTGCCGCCTTGTTCCCCAATTTGCTGTTCCTCTGACCTCCAGACTCACTGGCGTCAGGAATTATCTTGTGACCAGAGGAAAAAAAATTAATTGCGGTGAAGCTGAGGTTACAATGAAGAAAACAGATTTGGGCTAGGCGCTGAGATTGCAGGAGGAGGAGGAGGGGAAAGGGCTTTCAGCAAAGAACACTATTTATTTGAGCAACGAGGGACAAGAAGAAGAAAAGAGCTTTTTGCATGGAGAAAAGAGCGCTCTGTGCTCGCTGATGAACCGAATATATGCCCAGTCGTGCGGTGGAAACGTGTTTGATTAGAGTTTTGGCCCAGGTTTTTAATGTAGGGAGACAGGAGGAATGGTTTCTAGGTAAGCATTTGTGGGCGCCTCTATACCCGACTATGAATCCTTTGACTCTAGTTTTCCCTCTGCTCCTGTGGTCTGCAGACCCCCATCCACAAACCCCCAACACAGACACACACTTTCTCTCTCTCTCAACCACCTCTGGGTAGAAAACAATCGTGTTAGGTAATTTCATTGCTTTATAGTCTGCCCCTTTCTGCTATGGGAGGACAGGCCACCTGGGCTTGATTATTCTTAGCCTTGCTGAAATAGCTCCAGCTCTGAGAGCCCAGGGAAGGGATCCGGATGGGCAAGTACGTGCTGATCAGGGTTCACTGTTGCTCTTCTGGTCACTTCCTAGGGTTTGGGGGAATTTGCAGCCCTAGGGGCTGGTTTCCATCTTGGAACTGACCAAGTGGGATCTTCCAATGGTTACTTCCATAATCAGGCAGTTGGTAAATATTGATGGAGTTGCTTCACATAAAATGTGGCTCCTGCTTCAGGGATTTCACAATTTGGGGAGACAAGATTACCACAGGAAACAAAGGGTTCAGATAGTGTTTGACTCTAATTAACAGGACAATGAGAGCTCAGAGCTAGGAAAGTCTCAGAATAGTTGTCTTGGAAAGAACACTGGAATAGGAGTTGAGAGTCCCGGCTTCAATGTTTCAATAATTTGACATGTAATTTTGAAAAAGCCCAGGTACCCTGGCTTTAGTGGCCATGTTCGTAAAATGGGAGCAATGATGCTAATGAGCTAAGGCTTTATGAAAGTTGGATAGGCAGGTGTGGAGTGGCAATGGGCCAAAGAGCCCTTTATGAAACATACTACTGTCACATCATAAGTAATGTCAGAGCCATCCTAGAAGCCTTGTTCCTTTCCAACATCCCACAGTTTCGAGGGCTGTGAAAGTTTCCCCCACACACTACACTCCTGTGTTCTCAGGGAAAGCCTCCTTAGTGTAAAAGGGGGGAAATAACCTGCAATGATCGAGGCGATTTATGTGTGTTGTAAATCCAGTGAAGGGTACGCCGGCGATTTGGAAGGGAAAACGGTGGCTGTGGAGACTCCTAAGTGACCAAATGGAAGACCCTTCTCTTGTCATGCAGATGTCCATGTTTTGTGTGGAACAGTCAAGTCCTGGGGCTCTTGGGAAATCTGGCCTTTGGGGCCTGGCAGGTTTATGTTCAAACCCCAATTCTTCGATGTTCTCATCTATAAAATGTAATAATTTAGGCCTACTTGGTGGCATAGCTGCCGTTGGGTCAGGATTGGCTCCGTGGCAGTGGATTTTAATATTTTTTTGGTATGGTAGTGGATAGCATGATGGATTGCCTCCCACAAGGTCAGCAGTTCGAACCCCACCAGCAGCACCAAGGCTGAAAGATGCAGCTTTTTGCTCTGAGAGATTGCACATCTCAGAAACTCAAAGGGGGTAATTCTTTTCTGTCTTACTGGGTCCCTGTGAGTGAGAAATGGCTTGATGGCTATGAGTTTGGTTTGAATTAATTCAACAACAATATAGTATTGAATGCAACTTTCGTGCAAGGTACTGAACAGGAGCTCTGCATCTTAATGTCCTTGGTACCTGAAGGCCCAGCATGAGGTCAGTTCTCCCTTCCCCTTTTCCCTCCTCTGTTACTATTTTAAAGAGCTCTAGTGACACAGTAGTTAAGTGATCAGCTCTTAACTGAAAGGAGTTTGAATCCTGGACCCCTAGGCTGGTGGGGATGGAACAGGGAAAGATAGAGATCTCCTTCATTAGACTGTAGGTTCTCTGTCAGGTAAGCTCTCTAAGAGAATACACTGAGAGCAACTAACAACATTACTATTTTATCACTGATGCCTCAGGCTGGTATATCAGTTTATGGTTTTCAAAGCACCCCCAGGCTTCTCATTGCACAGTGAAATGCCCAGGAGCCATGTGACACATGCAGAAGGAAGCAGCTGCTAGGATTCAGTAATTCAGGCCTGGCTATGGCAATAACTTGCAGTGTGGCCTTGGGACACATTTCCTGGGTGTCGTTTTTTTCTGTGAAATTTGTGTGTGGGGGGGTGTTTAAAAGGAGTAGAGAACAAATGACATCTCAAGAGCCTTTCCCATCCAAAATTCTGAATCTGTGAAAGCAGGTTCCGGTTGGCAACACTGATTCGTTTCAAACCAAGAGGTTCTTTTCCCGACAGCGGACAGGACAAGCTAGCTCAGGCCTTCTGCAACTTGCTTAGCGGTGGCGGGGGCCTCAGCCTCTTATTCCAAACGCCTCTGAACTTTCTGTTCCCAGTTCTGCTCCTTTTACCAGCTCCCCCCCCCCTTGCATTTTTTATTTTTATGAAAGGATGTCATTAAGGCTTTTGTCTGCGCTGTTTTTGTTTCAGAACTTTTCTCACAATCCTATTTTTTGTTGAGGAATCCGCTCCTTTGCCCAGCTGTGGGTCCCGGTCCCACAGCTGTGTTGATCTAAGACTCAGCCCCAGACAGCCTGGCGCCAGGGTGGGACGTCATGCGTTCACACAGGGATGCGTGTCCCAGGCAACCTTTCCTCGGGCAGTCACCGGCCGGCGACTGGCGCCCCCGCCAATGAGCGTCCGACACTTGAGAAAGGGGTGGAGCCTGCGCCGCCCAGCCCAGAGAGCGCCTTGTGAATTGCAGATGCTGAGAACTTGATAACGCTCCGCGCAATTGGGCCCCTTAAAGACTCCACCACTAGGCCCCCTCCCCGCCCCTCCCCGCCAAAGTGCTTTCTTTTCTTTCTTGCGTTCATTCCCGGCTTCTTGCTTTCCATCCACTTTCCTGATCTATGTATGTAGGTCTTCCTTTTTTCACGATATCCTCCCAGTGTCAGGAATCATTTTGTAAGCTTTTCCAGGAACCGAATCTTCCTTTGCCAAAATTTAAAAAAAGAAAAGAAAAAAAAAATGCAGTGCTATGTTCTGATTTTTGAAGGGTTGGCAGAACTATAAAATTGTCTTGTTTTGTCTTTAATTAAAAAAAGAAATGTTGGGGGAGGTGGAGGCTGTCGGATTTTCAAAGCCAAAGTAATGGTGATGAGAATTGCAGATGTCTTTATCTAAACTCAGCCTCTACCTACTTTCCTAACTATCAATTTTACCCCCCGTTTATGGAAGTGGGTGGGGGTCCAGAGAACCTCAGAAACTTGCCCAGGGGAATCTGAGAGGCCAGTAGCCGAATTGTGGCCCAGACCCAGAGCTCCCAGTTGCTACAGCCTCACACCACCTCAAGACACTGCATTTCTAACGTTTACTTATATGCAGCAAAACTATCCCGAGGACATAGACGCATAAAACATCTCCCTGGTCCTCCTCACTGAGCTGTAGCCTACATTACAGCTTGAGACTAAGGTGATGCTAGAAGAGCACAGGGGATTCAGAATCATTCTGCCTCAGCTGTCTCATCTTAAACTCCCTGCCAACTCATAGCGACCCTATAGAGCAGCTAGAACTGCCCCCATGGGTTTCCAAGACGGTAGATCTTTACAGGGGTAGGAAGCATCACCCTTCTCCCAAGGAGCAGCTCGTCAGTTTGAGCCTACCAAGGAGTAACCAAACCCTCTACTATACCAAGGCTGCTTCTGCTGTCCCGTTTCTAAAACTCAGAATCCTGAACGCATTGCCATCGAGGGTATTTCAACTCTTAGTCTCCCTATAGAACAGAGTTGAATTACTGTGAGACTGTCAATCTTTATAGGAGCAGAAAGTCTCTTTATTCCTCAGAGCTGTTCTTGGGTTCAAACGGCTGAACTCGGAGTTCGACCCCTTCCACCACCAGAGCTCCTTCTCATCTGCAAAACCAACCCAAACTCACTGCCATTTAGTCAGTTCTGACTCATGACAACCCGAGAGGGCAGGGGGGTTTTTCGAGACTGTGACTTTATGGGAATGGGGAACTTCATCTTTCTCCCCTGGAGCACAGGGTGGTTTCGAACTGCTGGCCAGCACTATGCCTCCACTCAGCTATAAAGTGGGAAAGGCATTGATATCCACCTTCCTCACCACTGGGATCAAAGGGGACAAGGATGGAAAATGTTGTGAGAACTAGTTCTTTTTAAGAGCTGTGAGATGTTGTATTCCAGGGGAGGAGTACTTGGTGCCAAGTGAGTTTGAGGGATCCTGATAAGGTTCTTCTCAGGCAAGTGAGGTGCACTGTGTGGGGAACATCTGCATCTGAGGCACGAGTCCTCATGTTGTTGTG